CCTACTAGCCCCCAGTAAGTTTAGGCTCTAGTCTCGCGGCTTCACCCTGAACCCTGGAAGGACTTTTGCCGACATCATGGGGGACTTGGGGCTATTATCCATTGTCTTTCCTCTCACCCCGGGCATTGGGTTTGTTTTTAAGGTATGTAGAGCTGTAGAAGACAGGCACACGCTTCTGTAAGTCTCCCAAAGTCAGCATACATGGTCGAAGATCATCTTAACCCGCAGAGCCTAAGTCTTCAACATCCAACTTCCTTACTTGGAGGACCTGAGGAACTTAGTAAGTATGTTATTAACCCCTACAAGCCATGTAAGATCGCCGATTATCCCTCTTATTAACCTGCTTACTAAGTCCCCTTTCCCTCCAAGCAATGCTTCCATGCACACCGTTGCCCGCACCTTCTTCTCCTTCCCTTTGCCCTTCCCTTTGGCATCCGTCGGCCTCGGATGCACGCTTCAAAGTCCAGCACCGGCTACAAAAACACAAGCAGATAGATAGACAGGGATGCTTAAATCCCCTGCTCACCATCCCCAAGAAGGTAAGATTAAGATATCCTCCCAACATATTGTGCGTGTGATCTTTTCCGTTGCTAAGGGTGGTGGAGCTGGATTCAGTTTTCACGAAGAGGATCGGGAAAGCATTAGATTATTCATAGCCCATCGCACATGTGACTTGTTCCAGGTCAAGGAACATGCTTCAAACCGCCCATCTGTGTAGGCCTCGCATCTTTGCGCAGCAGTTGGAAAGCCACAAACCCAAATCCTACGACCCTGAAGCCTCTATTTTCCCAGATACACTCCACAATCCCTCGAAAGTCGTGACAAATCCTAGCCTCTGCAGTCCCACCAGCTCGTTCAAGGAAATTACAAACTGACCTCTTGGCCATACTGTTGATACTAAAAATNNTGACCCTAATATACTGTAATACCATTATTCCCAAGGTATAAGGCACTTAGGGTCATGCAGGATTTTCCGTACCTGTGCTGAGAGACCCGTCATAAAATTCCTGCTAAGCCCTTCAGCGGCCTCATGCGTGCTGAAATAAAACGCCTGCGGACTCTCCAGGAGTTATATGGGGACCCCTGAAGTAGATAGAACATGGGGTATATGGGGATCTTGTTATAATATACCCAACGCCATATTCTATGTACTTAAGGGGGACTATATATGGGGACCCAACTTTGGCATCTGAAGAAGCCCGTTCTACCTTCAAACATGTGACCGAGGTCGTTGCTCAGTCTCTGCAGTAGTTGCATCCCCCGAGGCCTCCAGCAGGTTCTCTAAACTCTAAGCCCTAAATCCGAAACCCTCAACCCTAAACTGGGTTGCTGTTAAGGAACTTAAATTAAGTTACCATAATGGGTATATATAGTAAATAATAGGGTTTCCCCAATATAGTAACTCCTTAACAGCAACCCAGTAAACCCTAGACCCTCAATCCTAAACAATGAACCTTGGGGTCAGGATTCTGGATTTCCAGTGTCAGGGCTCACTGTAGGCATTTGAGGGCGGGAGCCTGGCTATGCTTTACCCTGGTCGCAGCATGCTGCGGTAGTCATGTTTGAGACACCAACTTTTTGGTGGAGTTTCAAGGTTCTCTCCCAGGCTCTGATACCAACCCCAAAATCACGGCAGTGTCCCTAAACCCCCTAAACCCTAAAGCCGTGGCAGCTTATCCTAAGCCCTGGAAGGCTTGCAGGCGGGTCAAGAGAGCCAAGTGGACCCTTCTGCATGGACTCTACCCTGAAGTACGAAGAACAGAACCCATAGCCCAACCCCAAACCCTAAGGCCGAGTTCAAACTCTCTTCAAGATGGCAAACCCTATAAAACATCACAGAACACACATACTTATGCAGTGAAGGCTCGTCCAAACTTAGGGGTCCTCATTGGGAGCCCCTACATTAAGGAATAGAATATTCTGGGGTATTTCAGGCGTGACCCTGGGGTTCAATACCAGCATATGATGGTTGACCAAAATTCCTCTTCCTAAATGGCCTTTCCCACGCATTTTTCCGTACAGAGGATCTTTAGATCAACCCCCCTATAATACGAGAAAGCCGGTGTTCGTTGCTAGGGGAGGTGACCAGATGTGCCTTATACAACCCCCGCTGAAACAGAAAGGCCCTACTTGTTTAACTGCTTGTGTGGAGGTGCTGAATATTAACTACCAAGCACCATACGCCCTAGATCCTAAACCTGAATAACACCGAAATCCTGAGCCCTACACCCTTAAACCAGCATCCTGAATTCCTATACCCTACACACTACATCCTAAAACCCTATATCCTAAAGTCCAAATCCTAATCCCTACGACCTATACCCTAAACCCAAAGATCTAATCCCCGAATCCTGAACCCTAAATCCGAAACCGTACATCCTATAGAGCCTCAAATAACCCTACATAACCCCCAAAAGACTAAATGACCCCACAAAACCCTGCGTAATCCCTATACGTAACCCCATGCAATTATGTAATCCCACATGACCCCAAACCAAATTCTACGTAAACCTTTCACCACAAAACCATAACCCCTAAATCCCAAAGTCTAAATCCGAATCCCGAAAACCCCATGTAAACCCACGTAACCACACAGAGCCGTGGATATTTCTATGTACCCTATATGACCCACTACATCCCCCTCGATAGTCCTCTATATAACCCCTTTTAAGGAGTTTAGACCCTAAACCCTATATAATCCCGTATAAACTTCCTTTAAGGAGTTTGGACCCTAAACCCTATATAATCCCGTATAAACTTCCTTTAAGGAGTCTGGACTATACCCTATATGATCCCTAATCCCTAGCAATGTCCTTGGTGGCCTCCCCTGGAGTCTCCGGCTTCGCTGTCTCTGGCTTGGCATCCTTCGGAAAAGCCAGGCTCGGAATGTTTGGCTAAAGGACAGAGACAGAAGGAGAGAGAGAGAGAGAGAGATGCATATATATATATGATATAAGCGTCGAAAAGGGGTACAAAGGGGTGTATAGGGTTTAGGGGTGTAGGGTCTAGGGTCCCTCTGAGAAGACGCTTTGGTGAATCATGGGGAATGAATTGAAAAAGAACATGAACGGTAAAATGAAAACTGAGGATGAAGTTATGTAGTTGCCATAGAGAAACATGTTAGTCAGCTAAGTGATGTTGAGCTAAACCCTAAACCCTAAACCCTAAGTAATTAAGTACCTATGACTTTCACATGACTCCTATCGGGTCCTTTCGAGAGGGTTGGCGTCACCAACCCCCACCCCCATATTGGATCTCTGTGTGTACCACACGGTTTAGGGTTATGCATGCATGCAAGCATGTATGTATACTAATGTATCTACATATGAGCGGCGTCAAAAACCTAGAGGCCAGTCTTCTATTCCAGTTTTTCCAGTCTAATAGTTTGCCAATGAAACCTCAGGATGGTCTCTGGAGGGGAAATTCATCATTACCACCCCCTTTATAATAATAGCTAATCCGACATTACTTCTTTCACTTTGACTACAGGATGTGTCTACTAGCAAGGGTCGCCGGGGCATGCTCGACGTCCCACAAAATAACGAATGCAATGCGTTGTCTCATAAATTCCCTTGGTGTATCTACTCGCATACGGGCTGCATCCATGTGAAAACTGCAACTTCACATGTTTCTTGGGATTAGTTAGTTTTCTTCATCATATAACATAGGGCAAGATAAAATCAGGATCATTTTCAGGACCCTGGATGCTCGTTTGGGCCACCTACCCCTAAACCCTAAACCCTAAAAGAAACCTGTCCTCACTGGAAGGCTCCCCGGACATACTGGCTCACGGAGAGCGCCATGCAAAGCACATGTTGCACTGTGGCTGAGGTGTAGGGTTTGGGCCCTGAACTTTAGGCCCTGAACCTAAAACCTAAGTTCCTAAAGCCTACACCACTAGACCAGGTCCTAAACCTAAAGCCTAGACTCCTAAAGCCTACACCCCTAAACCCTAGTTCAGGGGTTTCGGGGCTCAGGTTCGTAGGATTGGGGTCTGGGCAGAGGCCTTTTGCTTCAGGCCGCGCACACGCTAGCTACAGTTGATACGAAAAATCCTTCATGACCCTGAGTACCGTGAAATCTTGAGAGTTGTGACCCTGAGCATCCTCAACCTGAGGAATTGTTTATTCTGGTATATTCAGGTCATGCAAGGCCTTTAGTATCAACAGCAGTGGATGGTACATTTGTGTGCTTCTCAGCTGCGCACATCTGAAAACTTGACGACACAAAGAACTGCAACAAGGCTATAACCCCAATATATACTATAGTAGGTTCAGTTTTCTTTTAAATCATCCCTATATAACCCCAACATACTATAGTAGCTTCCATTTTAGCTCCCATTATCCCTAAACCCTAAACCCCAATATACTACAGTATGATCTGAGGCACAACCTTCTATCTTGCATCTACTGCTGCAGGTGGGATTTGAACAGACCCTGCACAAGCCTTGACCTTATTATTTAGGGTTTAGGAAGGCATGCTGAAATTAAGTTGGTATAACCAGGAAGACCAATTACTTACCACATACCCATATTATGGTAATCTAAAACCTAAAGCCTAAACCCTACCCTATCATTTACTATCCACCCATATTATGTGAACTTAAGCCGTAAAGCCCAACCCTTGAACCTTACCTTGTTATTTGCTATATACCCATCTTATGGCAACTTAATTCAAGTTGCTCAGCCCTAAATCCTATATAACCTTATGTATACACATCATGGTAACTTGATTTGAATTCCTCCACAGCCACCCAGTATAGAGCTCCAAATAGCGGGGAAGATGCCTCAGCCCAACAGCTTCTACAGGGTTTAGGGTTTAAGGTTTATAGGGTTTAGGGTTTAAACCCATTAAGTCCCAAGCCCTACTTGGAGAGTCATGCGGACTTACTAAACAGGTTAGTTATGGGGAAAATTAGGGTTTCTACATGGTTTACAGGGGTTATCAGCCTACTTCCTAAGTCCCCCTGACCCTCCAAGTAAAACCCTACACCCATAAACCCTAAACCCTAAACCCTAAATAATCCCTAGAGCACAATATAGGGCCTAGGCTCAGGGTTTCCCCCGGGTAGGTTTGGGGGCCCTTCAAACATTATATATTTATGGCTTCACATGGAGTATATAGGAAGTAAGGGTAACAAATAAACAACAAATTCAAATCTACACCTGTTTAAGGTTTAGGGGATTAGGATTTAGGACCCCAGGCCCTAAACTTCCCTAAACCCTTTAGAATCCGGAACCCTTTAGGGTTTAGGACCTAGGGTACCTGGAGCCTCTGACCAAGGCTTTCAAGTCACGCCGGGATTGGAAGGGTGGACCGAGTGGAATGCGACGGCTTTTAAAAAGAAGGCCACAGCTTACTATATTCCTTCTGATAGGGACCCCCAAAAAAGGCAACTCAATTTTGGCAACCATGTGGCAACAAGCACATGACTCCAAGTTTCTCCTACCCCTCCTGTTCCCAACAGCACTTTGGGAGAAAATCCACGAAGAACGCCATGGAACTTGCTTACTGACTTAGTGTGGCCCGTTTGGGTAGAAGCATAAAGAAGTGTACGTTTTTTGT